ACGCCCGAATTTGCGTAGAGAAAACAGTATCTTCTTAAATTCAACTTCGGGCTTCGCTCTTGAAGTTGACTTCAAACAAACGACGCGCGTGTGTTCTCGAGGTAATTGGCTCTCGTGTGTAAGTCTCGTGTGTTGGAGTTTAAACACAGATGGAGAAGTTAAAGCGCCGTTTATGTTTAACGAGATAACGAAATTGTCGATTACACGCAATGGATCTTCGTTCGCGGAGAAAGGAATTACACAAGAGCCGCGGATGTCTCTGTATAGAGAGGGAAAGCGTCCGATCGATTTCGCTCGTGTTCCACTGCTGATTTATCGCGCGACCAGGTAATCCCGCATCGGGACACCCCCTCAATTTCCGGATTAAGGAGACAATAGTACCATCTCCTTGCAATTTTATCTTGCACATTTATTTCGCACGTGCATGCATTTCGACGTCCGTGCGACGACTCGAGAGCGTCTCCTCGATGCCGTTTTTTTTTCATCCCGCACCGAGGTGTCTCGCAATTTTCCCGATAATTAATTAGAGAGACTGATAGTCCCGCGTGTCGGGATGCTGAATTTACATATAAATAATAAAAATAAGAATTTAATGAAAACGCATTTGTGCGTAGAAGCAGAAAGACCTTGAAAACAACAAAATAGCGCCTTTGCTGGCTTGTCACACGATTAACACAAGACGATGCGAAAACGCGTTTTTGTAGCGATGACTACGCGTTTGTGGTTTTCCGTGCGGGTTGTAATTATTTCTCGATTATTGTTCGCGTGAGAAAATCGAGTCGCCTCCAACAAAGCGGGAAAAAAAAAGAGATTGTCGGACGCGTTGCTCGCAGAACTCACTTGCGAATTCGTGCGGCAACTGGTTGTTAAAATTTTACGAAAAAAAATTATTTATCACGAGTCTCGCGAGAGAAAAAACGAACTCCTCGGAAGATTCTTAATTCATCAAACTCCGAACCTGCGGACCCTTCTCTCGTTACCGCGTCTATCACGCGAACGCGTATTTCGCACAAGAAACGGGGGAATAGTTTTGCGGACGCGACGAGAGATGTGGAGCGAACGGGGATTCCCAAGGAGGCTTTTGTTATCCGAAAGTTGTCAACGCGCGACACGCATGGGAGGCGTTTTTAGTGCTCAATCGACGATTCAACTGTGTTTTTCAACGGCCGAAGTAATTTAACTATTTTCACGCGACCGCGACTTCGACGAACGAAAGCACGTTCGCGCTTTTTTACGGAGAGAATTTTTCTCTTATCTCGGCCTCACTTATTTATCGCGATATTTCCTAACTTTCTTTCGCGTGGCGAAATAAGCCACAAGACACTTAATAAATTTTTTAAACGCTTGTAAAAACGAATGACGAGAGAGAGAGAAAAAGAGAGAGGTAGGTTTCGAAAACCGTTTCCTATTTATTGCAGTTTTGCATTTGGGTTAGATACATAAAATGCTTGTTTGCTACCGACTAACATTCGCCGTGCAAGAGTACGAGATAAGCTCGGAGTGCAAACAAACAAGGATCTGTGCAGTCTCTCTCCGGAAAGTGACGATTAAAACGCACAGATGATAAAAAAAAGATTATTATGTTTGTCATATTTACTTTTTTTTTTAGTGACGAGGTTTTCCGGAAATTGACAAAACCGAAAAAACTTTCAGCGCCTACTCAATGTTTCATAAGAACGTGGAAATGCAAAATGCAACCGTTTTCTACTCCATGTTGGAAGAAGAAACTGCGCGGGCGGTTCAGAAGTGCGATAGGTCGCGCGCGCTATAGACTTAAAAAAAAAATAAATAATTAAATAAATAAACTTCGAAATGTAATATGCGTGAACTCCGTTCGGATCAAAGCTCGCGAGGAGATAGCGAACGATCGTACGTACATTGTCTGTGATACAATTTGCGCTGCTCACAATAATCGCTCATTTGTTCGCTCACTTTAATAAAATCTGTCATGTCTCGGTTAGTTAATTGTGTGACATTGCAAAATTATTGTCGACTGCGCGCCGCCCTGTTCGCCGGGGACTCGAGAGGATTTTCAAAGATGAGAAGGTAAATGAAAGGAGTTAATTCCCGTTACAAAGACTGAATGAGAAACGCTCGGCGCAATTTGACAAACGGAATAATAATTGTCAAATTCACGTGCGCTTCTTTGTTGTTATTACAAAGTGGCCTCTCAGCTAAGGCCGCGTCGAGTCGTTAGTAGAAAGGATTTCCCTGACAGATCTCCAACAGATCCTTCTTTTACAGACAATTTCGCGGATGTGGTAATTACGACATTATCAGACAGAAAATTAACAATTAAATTTAATTAAATTTTATTAAATTTTTAAGCAAAATGAAAAGCAACAATTAAATTTGATTAAATTTAATTAAATTTTTAAACAAAATGAAAAGCGAACTCTCGGATGAATATTGTCGCAGGTTCATCAATTTAAAAAGATTTGAATAAAAAATCGAAACGTTGACACACAGTCCGCTTAATTTTTGCGCAACATTCCGCGCGTTTTGGTTCGCAATTGCCGTTTTTTTGCATTTAATTTTAATTAAATTTTATCAGGAACTTCGTGCGTTTGCAATATTGCAAATGCGGGTAAACAAGGTGAAAATTATAAATCGCGAATTTTTTCGCAACAAGAAAAGTTGTATCTCATTTGGAAAATAAATAGCCATTCCCAGCAATGGATTGAAACTGCTGATAAGCGATAAACACGCACGTATTTTTATTGTGCGCGATAGAATCCCATCTGTTAGACGCGATACGAGCAACAATATCTCTCTATATCTGTTAGAGCAAAAAAAAAAAAAAAATTAAATAAAACAAACTATATGACTGCGGACGACGAAGACAAAGAGCAGCTTTGAGAAATATTTTTCTGTATTGTATCGAAATTGAATTAGTTTCGAGATACACTCCATATCTCTCGGCGATTTGACAAGCGAGTTTTATTCGAAAGAAACGCTTTCGAAAACGCAGCGAAGGCTTTTCAATGCAGATTTTCAATTTAGATGTACCGTTAGCAAAGTGCGTACGCGTTCAAAAAAAAAAAAAAACAAACAAACAAAAACAAAACGGAAGATTAACTACGAGAGAAAGAGAAGAGAAATAAATAAATAACAATTTTGACCCTGGTGTTGTACGCGCTTGATCTCGCGTGGGTACCGTCGCGCGGCAAGTGACTGAAATTTACGCACAAGTGTGTGTCGAAAACAAAAACAAACGAAAGATAGAAATTCCATCGGGCGCAACAAAATTGCGTTTAAAATAATAATAGCTTTGCGCGCGTAATTTTACACGAAAGAAAAAATCTAAAACAAGAAAAAATGTTCTCGCTGAATTGTTCGATGCGACATTGATACAACAATGTCCAAATACAATCGCGTTGCGTGACTCATTAACGAAATAGCTGGCCCGATGGCTACCGACCGTGTGAGATTTGAAAGCTCGCGTATGAAGTTTTTCGGTTCTTTTCATCTTCGACGCCGACGCTGACGTACATCTCAAAGACGCAAAAAAAACTATCTTTTACGTGACAAAGATTCGTGGGAGCATCGAGATGCTGCTTCGCATTACCGCAGGCAAGATTCGTGTGAAATTCAAAACAAAAACAAAAAAATGTTACACGGTCTCGTTGAACATTAGCGCGCGCGCAGCTGATGACGCAATTCGCAAGCGCAAAGAGACGAAGAGGTGGTTCTTAATGAAGATGGTCCTCTCTTGTAAGGATCACGCGTAAGTAAAAACAACCTCCGCATCTGTCAGCCTCCGCGCTCCACTTTTTGATGTGAGGCGAGATTTTGTTTTTTTTGGGGTTTTTTATTTTTTAAATACTTTGCGATATGAGCGCGCGCTTTCGCCCACGCAAAAAAGGTCACGGTGATTTTAATGGAGATTTATGAAAACAGTGCCGCTAATTATTCCAGTTTTAAAAGCCGGAAAGTAGTCCTTTTCTCGCTCTTCTCGCCACGTGGTTCGTTCAGAACGTCCAAACACAAAGTACAATTAAATTCAGGAAAGGGATGAGCAATAAAAAGCCCAGACACCTCTGCAGAAAGAAATAAGGTCAGTAGAGAGAGAGAGAGAGAGAGAATAGCACGACTGCAAAAGTTAAATTTTTATAATTTTGGAAACTCCTTCTGTAAAAGAAACCCCATATTTCTCTTATTATCTTCCCCGTAAAACAACAATTATTTGTAGATAAAATTATCAGACAGAAAAAATGTTTTTTTTTTGTGTGATTCCACGATTCTATCAGATAAAAACTTTATTTACGCGCACAACGTTGAGAACTGTCGGAGACGATGTCCGACAAAATATCGCGTATGTGTGGATCTTAATTGCGGAGAAAACAAAAGCGTACGACATTCGTCAAAAACTGAAAAATTCATATAGCTTCTATAAAAAATACATTCCGTCGTATCTCGCAATCAGACAAAAAGGATGCGAATCCCTTGAATCTGACATGAAAGATCTTAGCTTCGTCTTTGCTCCTCACAGCTGTTTCTCACACGCGCGTGCGGACGTCATTCTCTCGTTTCGCGCGAACGTTGTGTCCGACCAATCGTAAAACGAACTACTTGCATTCTGCGTCGTGATCGCGTCACTGGGATGATAATCGCGACTCGCGTTCGCGATCAAATGAGTTTTTAATGAAGACGATTTCTGGAAAGAGAGAGAATTTGCGCGCGTAACTCTCTCTTTCTCTCTCTCTCTCTCTCTCTCTCTATCTATCTCTCCGAGCGAAAACCTTTTCACCCTTCCACCATCCGTCAACGCGGACACGGGGGGTCGCAAAGTCAGGAGAGGGATGAAGGAGAGCAGGGCAAGAAGAGAACGCTTGCGCCCCGTGTCCGCCACCTGTGCGCCCTCTCTCTCTCTCTCTCTCTCTTTCTTTCTCTCTCTCTCCCTCCAACCCTCTCGCATCCCCCATTGAAAGAGAGAGAGAGAGGCGGCTTCCCATATATATAAAGAGGGGGTTACTCGGTATCGGCCACACTTCGCATCATTACCGTCGTAACGCACGAGCCAGTCAATCTCCGCGCTTGTACTTCATCATCGTCCGAGTCTGACCCTCAGGAATTTGAACGTGGTGAGTTTGACGATTTATCGAAAAAAAAAATCATACACGTCTTCTCTTGGTCTTTTCTCGCAAATATATTTCGTATACTCAATTTTTTTTAATGCAAAAGATACGTTTCTCGTAATTTTTGGGAAATTGTAGAAACTATTTCGCGACAGTTAACTCAGGAAACTCTTCTCTCGTCTTTTTCTTCGTCGATTTGTCGCGAAGATTCTGACAATTTTGTTCCGTTACTAATTTTCACACAAAGTGCAAATTGCACGTCTTACGAATTGAATGTATTTTTTTTTTGCTACACGTCAAAAATCCGATCGTAGACGATCGGAATCGCGCGCGAAAGATCAAAATAAATCGATAATAAATTATTTCATCCGATGAACGGCGATTTCAAGAAAATCCGCACTTTATATTCGCCATAAAACCTGAATGTGCAGTCTTTACGATTATGACGCGTATAATAATGGATACAATCCTGACGCGTATAATAACAAAATAATGGACATAATCATGCGAAAATACATGGGCGCCGTGTGTAACCACTGTTATTTTTTTTTTTTTTTATCGCGACGCGACGGATGATAAATTAGTGACGTACGGATCGTCGAAGATACAAAATGGATAGAGAAGGCGCAAGATTGATAAGATTCCGGACCGACTTCGTGACTGATTAAATATTTACGAGACAAAACAGATCACAATTGTTTTCACATACCGATCACGTTGCGTTTAAACGAAACCCCGCGCTGCAAGGATGCTTTAAACAATTTAATTCGGTCGACGGAGCCCTTTGCCGTCGTAAATCGCAACACGAACCGCGCACTTGGAGCGACCGCCTAGAGCAACAAGTTGAAGCAAAAAGAAGCGATTTCGCTTCAGATACAAATGCATTTTTCGCGCGAGCCAAACATTGTGCGAATTTTAAAAGCTAAAACGCACAGATACTAAATATTTTTGAAACGCAAAATTCTGCGAAATGGACTTTTCGCACGTTGCGTATCTTCGCAAATCAGCTTTTTTTTTTTTTTACCAACCGCACAGAGCTCTCTGTTTTATTCCGATTTTTTTAAATGTGTTTGTAATACCGTTTGTAATATCGGTCAGTACACTGTGTGCGCGACCGAAATTCATCTCACTTAAACATCGCCCTAATGTCACGCGCATTAAACGCGCGCGCGCGCGCGCGTCCCCGATGTGATCAAAGTCATCCGAAGCGAGCCAGCAGCTTGCAAATTTAACGGGACAATAAGTAATTGTCGGAAGCCAAAATCGATACTTGTATAATCGAAGAGTATCTGTTGCGTAAATGGAGATTTCGCGAGAAGACGCGGCCGAGAGAAGCTGAAACGCGATTTTTCACGTAAAATTATGCAAAAAGCGATATATCCAAAATCAATATCTCGATATCTTTCGCTATTGCGCAACGAACAATCTATAGGCTCGCTTTTCCTCTTGTCTAACAATGATTAATTAAAGCTAGGGAGATAATTATCAATCGGATATCGCGTTACGTGGAAATTGATGAACACAGGGAGTCCGAGAGCGAGAATCTTTGTCCGCGACTTTTTCTTCCCCATCCCGCGGCTTAATTGCCACTCGCTGATTATACAATCAATTTGACCGCCTTTCCTCGTGAGAGCGCGAGCAAATATGTTTAAAGAACCAACGTAAGACCGTAGCTCGCGACGAAGATACGCGAACGCAGCCAGTGAGGAAAAAAAAAAAAAAATACAAATGCGATTTTGCCATCATCGCTTGTAAATTATTTACGTTTCTTAAAAGCTTCCGCAGTGTACGTTGTTCCGAGCAAAAGAATGGGCAATTATTACCGCGGAAATGTCGGCAGGCAAATTGCCGTTAATCAAGGGGCTGAGAAATATCGTATTCCCCCGCGTTTCCCGTCCCATCGCGAGACTTCGAAATTTTTCTATCGTCTCGCTTCTTTCTCACTTGAGTCGAAAAATCTCGAGAACACTTTGCCTCGTCGTCCGTTTGCTACAGTCGATAAATATTCAAACACATTTCCGCGACGACAAAAAAAAAAACTTCCTTCCATCGACCTTCCATACGCGAATTTAGAAAAAACAAAAGCGCATATATAACGGACGAGGAATTTTCAAATTCAGCGAAAACAATAATACAGCGAGCGTATAGTTTCGCGCGCGACAAAATTTAAATCTACAATTTAATTATATGCGCGTCGTTATTTAATGTAGAAATACAGAAATTGTGCGAGAAAGTTTTGAAATTTTTTACTCATTTCGCGTTATATGAAGGCAATTATACGCATGATCGCGCATTAGGTGTTGTATATTTGTTCAATGCGCGTGTGCGTTCGATATTGTGAATACCCGAAACGATTAAACGGATTTACCTCTTCCTCCTCATCGATAAGCGCGGTGCGGGTAATCAATGTACGACGCGTTCGGCTAGAAATTGCCGGGGTTGGAAATCGGCAACTCGGAGAGTATCTGTCGCACATATCAATTTAGAACTCGTCGCGAAACACGCGGAAAGCAAAAGATGCGGATGTAACGTCGCGTAATTTATTCATAATATAAATTTTCTCGCGGCCGAACGAAGCAATTCGTCCTACTCGTATGGACAAAGCCCCGTGTTACAATATCGCTCGAATGTTAATAGGCGCGAAAGAAAAAAATTTGAAACAAACACTCTCGGAGCGACACGGGAATGAAAATTACATATCGTATGTATATTTGCATTATATTGTATACGCGCATATATTTATGTTATTTATATGCAATGTTTTTGTTCTGATAAATAGAATGAAGTGTTTTGCTAGTAGCGTCGGAAAAATGAAAATAAAATGTTCTATAAAATCCCCCAATGACTCCAATAATTATTGGAAATAAATAATTAATTACACATTGTTGTTAATTAATTATTAATAATCGGAATATCATTAAAAATTAGAATGATCAATTATTAGAAAATTATTAACGGTCGAATAATTTTTAAATAAGTAATGTTTTCAATATTTTTTAAGACAATTATTTCTTTAGTAAATATCCGGCCTCGTTGAAACATTTATCTTTCAAGTAGAAACTTTCAATTTTACAAAAACAAAATCGTTGAAGAGACGTTTACGCGGCTGCTCGTATTGTGTGTCAGCTCGTAGACGAAATTCACGGATAGAAAGCTCAGATTACGTGGCTGCGCACAGGTGTCACGCACAGGTCGAGTCGTTCTCGCTCGCGTCCTGCGGTCGCGATGTAAAGGGATCGTCTCTCTGAATGAATACGTCGCGTACGTAACATAGAGCTTGGCGCTCGCTTTCGAATCTCTTCTCCGTTTGCGCGAGTGTGAATTTGCAACAAATGGCGTGTGTCAAAATCATATCGCGACTTTTCGAGTCACAACTCGGAGTGAACAAATTAACATAGTTTGCACCCAATTTCGAGAACGTAATTTGCTCGCCGTGACGAGCCGCGCGATCCTAAGTATAGAATCAATTAATTCTCGATGAATTATTCAGACAGTGCGGTCTCAATGTTGATGATGTTTTTTTTTTTTTTTTAATTCCTTCGTTGTCCGATAGAAATACAACGAGATGGCTGAGATAGAGCGGACTAGGTTACTCGGCTCGGAAAAAAACATCGCTCATTAATATTTTAACGGCGACGACATCGATAATGCGGCCCTTTGAGAATCGAGGGCGTAGGCTCGCAACTCCCCTGTGACCCTCTCCCGAATGACTCGACGAAGAATTTTCCGATAACATTCTTAACACTTCGTTTTTCACTCGCGACCGAAAAGAAATTTATTAACGACGTTGGAGATTTAATTTTTGTTTCCAACTCTTTATGAAACAACGTCCTAAAAGCAACAACGTTAGAGATACAAGATCTTTGATCTGATAAACTTACGTCGAAACGCGAGTACAACGAGAAAATAACTCCCGTGCGGAATAACGTAACGAGGTTGACTTGCTCGCGTAATAAGGGATACGGAGACGAAGTAACTCGAAAATGGACATCACATTCGGATGTCAGCTCTTTGCGAGGAAAGATTCACGACGCGTTGCGCGGAGATAAAATTATTATAATGACGCTTTCTCCCCAAAGAGAAGGGCGCTTCACTCGCGATATCTCTCGTGTTATTCAACGGCAAAGACCGCACTCGACGATTGTTGAACCGCAAACGTTGTGTCACATTCGAATTTATCTTCTCCCGTCAAATGTGGGAGAAATTGTCTCAGACGTTTAATATTAATTTCACCTCCGCTTCCTTCCCTTTTGCAAAGAGCAAACCGTACGGAAGCGAAACCGACGCGCGCGCGCACCGCACATGACACGCGCTCTGCGTATCTCATTGTTCGAAACACTCGACGACGTCGTTTTATTCTTACAATGTAAAAAGAAAAAAAAAATAAACGCAAGCACTGTTCCTCGATTAGATAACACGCGTAACTCGCATGTGTGCGTTCGCCGCGCATATGTTCCGCACGGACTCTGCGGGATCGATTGAACAAAAAAAAAATAATAATAATAAAAAGAAAAAAGAAATCGCAAGAATCGTCTTCTTGATATTGCAGAGAACATGAGCATCATGTACGTCGTCAAACGCTGCGCAATTCTCGTTCTTCTGGTGGCGACAATCGGTCTCGTGCACGCCACCGAAAATTACATGGATTACGGAGGTAAGTCGTTTTTTAATCATCACACTCGTTTCACTCCACGTCCATTGTACGAGGTGTCCGTTGCGATTGTTTAAGGAGACTTAACGCGCAACAAGAGATTCTCCCCGTGAAAACACAATTTCGGATGTGAATTATCTCGCGGCGTTGCGAATTGATTGATGAAAAACACAACCGACGGGTCATCGTGAGAAACTGAAAAACTGTCTCTCTCTCTTTTCCTCTCGGAGATTAATACCACCTGCGACGATCTCGCGTCCTTTGATCGCGCCGCGTTTTCTGCTTTTTTTCAGGATTAAAGAGAAGATCCGCCGACGCGCGGATCGCGTACACGGTTAACGATTTTTGTCGTTAATCCGTAAAAAAAAAAAAAGATAATCGTCCCGCAGCGAATTCTCTCAATTTCGCGATTACGTATCAATTTCCATCGATGGCTCATTTACGCGGACAAAATCACCGCTCGCGCGATTTCTGCAACACGAGCAGTTGTTTCTCGCGCGCTTTTTACACAAAGTCGCCTCGCTTCTTCGACGCGTCGCTGAATTATTTCCCTCGTAGCGCGGAGTGTCTCATTAAAGTTTTACTCCCTCTCACTTGGCATGATAACGCGCTTTGTATTCCATTACCGGTAATGCCGTTGTATCAACGCGAGAGCCGTCGCCGTCGTCGCCGCCGCCGCTGCGTCTCTCTCTCGAGCCGTATAATAATAATTAACGATATCGCGTAGGACGGGCTTATTAAGTCATCGTTGCGCTTGTGTAAGAGAGAGAAACGCGAAAATAAGTATAATTAAACTTTCCGTCACATTGCACTCGTTAATGCGACGACGTCGTTTTCGTCTCGTTGCCTCGCACGTGAGAGAGAGAGAGAGAGAGAGAGAGAAAGGAAAAAAGAAAGAAAGAGATTAAACATCTTTTTTTAACACGTCTGAAACAAAACTGTGTATTTTACATTGTAAAGCCACGTGGAAAAAGTTTTGCATCCTTGCCGTAAGAGGATTCCGCTCTCGCGATCGTCGGGTTTTTTTCAATATTAAATTCTTTAATCTTTATATGCACAGAGAGAGAAAGAAGACAGAGGATTTGTTTTTGAAGCGCAATCAGAGCGCTGGAATATTTACTTCAAATGTTACAATTCGCGTAGAGAATTAATTAGCGTGGAGAGAGAGAGAGAGTGTGTGTGTGTGAGATTAAGAGAAATGAATTTTATATAATTTTCTGTGAACACACACGAACGCCGGGATGATACAGTCTTTGCCGCCGCAAATCGCGGTTTGCGTGGCCGCGCGTTATAGATCGTCACGCTTTTATGATTGCCCTCACGATCTCTCTCTTCGATAATCGCTTCTCATAAGAGAAGATCGCGCGTCTTTCCCGAAGGGGAGTTGTGTCGAAATATATATTTTCGTCTCTCACGACAAATCGCGATTTGATTTCCTCCTCGGTATTCGGCGCGCACACAGCTCGATCTTGTTCGAAGACAACTTCAATGCATACATTCGTCCCGAAGGCTTTTTTCCGACATTTAAATAAAAATGTTAATACGTCAATTCTTTCATCTGGAACGAATACAAGATTATCCCTTTTTTTTTTTTTTTTTTTATTTACTAATTGCAAAAGTGTCGGAAGAGAGAAGCGCGTCGCGGAAGCTGTTAGCTGAGCAAACAGGCCAATTCGGTCGCGCGAATAAGACGATAAAGTTGAACGTAACGTGAGATTCGCATTATAAACGCCGATGACGTAGCCGTTATGACAGTCAACAGGTGAGACTACGCAAACGTGTGCGTCGAGTTCGCGCGAAAAGAAATTTGTCAATTCGCATTCGACACAAAGATCGAAAATGCGTCGCAACGATGGAGTTTTTTTTTCCTCGTATTTTGCAAGTTATTTTGCAAGATTTACTCGATCGACCGTGCGCGCACACACTCATATACACATGTACGAGCTGCGGTTTTCCAAACCTAACCGCATTGCCGATACATTTCGCCTAACCGCATCGCCGATACATTTCGCATCGTCCTCGAATTGTTACCACGCAAGTTTTTCACAGAGATGAAAAGTGTCCATTCGATCGGAAAATATTTTTTCTTTGTGGCGCATCGAAAACATGTGCGAGAAAATTCTGTCAATTCTCGGACAAGGTCGACGCGGTGTGTACCGACCTCTTGTTAAAAAAAAAAAAAAAAAAAAACAACAACAACGCGGTCTCTTTTTATCTGCGTTTATTGACGGACTAATCAAATTCACCGAAGCGTCAGCTGAAAATAATCAGAGAAAAAAAAACGTTTGAACGTATTTATATTTTTCTATTTTTATTCTCTTGTTTTGTTATCTCTTTTCGGCCGATTATTCGATTCGACGCGAGAAAGCGCAAATAGTTTCAGATGTGCGCGCATTTATCAACGAAAACGCGAGCGCGCGTGATAAATGACACCACGTCAGATAACATCGGGCGCCGGTATGAAACATTCTTTTACGGGTCGCGATCTATGCGGGAAAACGAATAAAAGTGAATAATCGTTATAACGCGCGCGATGGTATAACCGTATAAAAGTCGCCAATTCGTGCGCGCTCGTACGAAGAACGCTACTTATCGTAAAAGCGTTTTAATATCGCATAAAGCCGGACGTTACTTGTGCCGTCGTACTTCCTCTCTGTTCTCGCGTAAAAGCGGACGCGTCACGTACACCTGACTCGATTTACATGTTTTTTTTTTTGCGATAGAACACGCAAGAAAACAAACGTGTGTGTGATCCAGAAAAAGGAAACAGATTGTCGGCGACAACGCGCGTTTCCGGTCGAGGGACCAAAAACTTTCGCGACGCACGCGAGAAAATTGTTCGCGAAGAAGATTTATTTCGGATTTTTTCTTAAATACGTACCGGGGTGGAGGAGCTAAAACTCGGTCGATACATCACTCACGTGTCGATGTAGACATGAACGGGATTAGAGTCTTGATCCTGCGGGGGTAGATGCATCATGTGTTGGCGGACGTAAATACATATATTTCGCGCGCGAAATAATCGCGCGTGCTCCATCAAACCTTTGGTAATCTTTGCAGAAGAAATGGCGGAGAAGAGCGCTCCGGAGAACATCCGCGAACTGTACAGACTGCTGTGGCAGAGCACGCATCGTAATCCGTCGCTGAACACCGTCGGTTTCGGCGGCATCCCGTTGGAACACCTGATGATCCGAAAGTCGCAGCGATCGCCGTCGCTACGTCTTCGATTCGGCCGTTCCGGACCGCACACTTCCGTAAGTTATAATAATGATAATCTTCATTGGATGCGAAATGAACACAACATGTAAGTCAACAAGAAGTTACGAAATGAGAGAAATCGATCTTACAAAAAACCAATAGTCTGCAATATATAAAAAAATAAACAAAAAATAAACAAAACATTGTCAAAGTTAAATATTTTTAAGTTTATTCTGTTAAAGTGTGATATATTATTATTGTCGCTCACAAGTTTCCGCTCTTTTGTTTGCAAATTATTTGTTTCTATTTCCATACGTGTGTTTTACGACGCGATTCGCGCGCGTGAGAGCTCGATGTTCTCTCGCGCGGGAAACATTACGTGTTTTTGTATTATGCAAACAACAAGAAAGCACACACACAAGCTACCCATCACTTTTAGATCCTTACGTACACACATTGTTCTTCCGGCGTCACTTTGTGCAAACACTACAATTGCAAAGACAAAGTTAAGGAAATTAAAAAAACAAACAAACAAACAAACGTTTCCAATTTTTCTCACGAAGAGTTTCGGGGCTGGCGAATTGTGACGTTGTTTGAAACTGTCGAAATGATCGCGCCTGTTTTCGCATGAATTGTTTTTTTTTTTGCCGCGCAACGTTTTCGAATCTCCCGTTTGCATTCCAAGTCTAATGTAGCGCGCGTATTCCCTGGGAGATTAATTTTCTCGCAATTAGCAAGAGTGACGCAGCTCTCTCTCTTTTCTCGGCCGCGATGTGTACGCTCGCCTTCTCGCAGAACGATTGTGGGGAAGATATCGTGACACGAAAGAATTAATAGAAATATGAGATAATTAACTGCAACTCTTTAACGAATATTCAGCGAATAATTAAAATAGCAGAGAAAAACGTGGATTATTCTTTATTTACCGATAGAAGAGAGACATTAATCAATTTGCACATATTTTTATTTTTAATTCCTGCCTCTTCATTTTTTTTTAATTCTCTTTCCCCATGGGATATTTTCAAAGTCCTTTAAGTATAAGCCGTCGACTTTTTTTCTACGATAAACGTAAGATGCTCGTAATGGAGAGAAAAATATAGAGAGAGAGAGAGAGAGAGAGAGAGAGAGAGAGAGAGAGAGAGAGAGAAGTGCTTTTATAAATTTATAAAAAGGTACAGAAATATGCCGTTCCGCTTGAAGAAGAGATGTGATCGTCGCCTAAGAAGAGTGTGTTCTTATATAGCATCTGTTAATATTATTAGCAATTTGACGGAGGTATTAATACATTCTGGAAATTCACCGGACTCGTTTGCACTAATTACGGAGAGAAACAAACTCGATAATTCCAAGGGAGTGTTTTTCTCTCTAAAGAGCGTCTTCTCTATTCGGAATTCAGAGAAGCCGGAGAAACTTTGAAAAACTCTCTCTCTTTATTTACGTATATCTATGTATCCGTCGTGTGTTAATATAGTCGCGAAAGCCATGCGTTTTCGCAAAGTAAATAATTTCGCGAACTGACGCATGAGCTTTAATAAACGAGAAACTGCATTTTGCACAATTGCGCGACAACGTCGGGGAGCGCGTGTGTGCGCGTTTGCCGGGTGAAACTGGGTGTGTTTTTTGCTCGCTTTTATCGCGCACATGTATGTACAATATCAAACAAGAATGCAATTTTATCGCGTTATATTCAAGTCTCCGGTCTTTTTTAACGCGTATCGATTCGCAATCTCGCCTCTCTTTTCGCGCCTCAAATATTTTTTATTTACGCGAAATGTTACGTGTGTGTTGCGGGTGATACGAGAGTTCGTAATTTGCTCGTACGTACGTACGTTCGTATGTCGTACGGAAAAGTCTAGCGATGGACGCTGCCGGGGCGTATCTTCAAAAGGCCTGGCAAAATAACATTATGCCGTCTTGCGCTCGACGAAGCGCGCGCGAGACCTTTTTCCAACAAAGATGGTGGTAACATCACGTCTGCACGTTCGAAGAACCATCTGCGATCGATACGATGCAAAATAAACCAAAAAACAAAGCGTCGGGAGCTGCTGCAACGAGGAAGTTCAAAGAACGTAACCGTTTCAGACGGAATAAGTTTTCATACTCCATTTGACGGATGTTGGAAAAAAAATGTTATCTCTTATCGTGTTCAATTTTTTGTTTAAATGCGAAAAATTGCTTTATTTCGTATTCTCAAAGTATTCGATTACTTCGTATCGATTTAATGGGGGCAACATTTTGCGCTCCCGTGACGACAAAAAATTCCGAGTTGCTACTTCGACCACTTGGAAATTACAAACGACCCTAATCAAACGAACACCCGCCTCCCTTGTGTCTTGTCTCGAACGATACGAAGAGACAAAGACCGAGTAGGTTTCCTTCTCGACTTTGGCGAACTCGTGTGTATCGCGCGGAGAGGAACGATTTTCCGTTCTACCGAATTTGGCCATTATCCTTCTCCTCCGTCTCTCCTCCGCAGAAGTTCGCAAAACAAGGACACCGCGCGCGAACTCGTAATTACGACAATGGAGGTGACAAATTTCTCCCGAAAGCGATGTGATAGATTATTGAAATTCTTATCTGTATTAAGAGACCGAGAGAGCAATATCGAAACACGTGAACGTAATTTGCGATTTTTTGCGCGTAACAAATTACAATAACGAGGAAAAGTAATTTTATCATCTTTCACGACGAGACGAAACATATAGAGACGGAAAAAGTTGCCTCTGATTTTCCTCCCTCGTTCAATCACGCGCGCGCGATTTTTCTCTTTTACCGACGACGAGATCGCATTAAGCAAGTCTCATTTGCATCAAGGATCTCTTCTTCTTCGACGAGATTGTCTAATTTATGCTCGTTTGACATTTCTATTTTTTTTTCCCCCAAATTACACATTCGTCGGACTCTCGTACGCACGAAGCAACGTTTCCACGAAGTTGATATTAATCACGCAATTAGGATAATCGAACTCTATAGCGTCCCTCCAATGATCGATTACTTCTTGAAAAAGGTGTTTTAAGTGCCCTATCGTCGAGTGTTTTACTCTCGGGATGATTTTCATCGGGATTTATTAATTCGCTCGAATCCAATTCGCGCGCCACTGTATACGCTTCATTTCCGCGACGTTTCGTTATCCCCGGAAATGTCATTTTTCCACGGCGGCGTTTCTCTTTTCGTTCGCGCGAAGTTAAAAAAACCTTTTTGTGCGCGCACAGGTTGAACGCTCTCCTCCGATTTACTCCGGCGTAATTAAACTCGAGGAGCAAACGAGCGAATAAATTGCGAGCAATTAACTTGATTTTCACGAGCAATTAAGTAATTAGCATCATCACGTCGGTGTGTGTTGTTTCAGGCGGGAGCATTGCCGAGACCGGTAGACGCAGCGGCGGCGGCGGCGGCGGCGGGATACGACGACAACAATTAATCGGCGGGGCTGATCCACGGGCACACCTCTTTTCTGAATTTGTTCTCGATGAAAAAACAAAAAACAAAAAAAAAAAAAAGAAAACACGCGACTTAACCCTCTCTTCTCTTGTATAAAAAAAAAAAAAATTACGTATAGCTCTCGTCTCGTGCTGTTGTTCTCTTGTGCGCATATAAATTTTTCGTCGCGGACGCTTCTTATTCGAGCGAGGCGAAGAAAAAGAACAGTTCGCGAGTTTCATCTATATATATATATATATAATGTTCTTCATAATTATTCCACAACGTTAACTCTTCTAGATCGAACGTGGAAGAAAATTTGTGTATTTGTTGTCTCTTATATTTTATTTGTATATGTAAATATTAAGCGTATATTTATTAAAATTAATATTCGCGAGTTTTATTTACTTGACCGTCTGTTGACCTTACAACAACGCGATCTTGGAATTAATTGCAGATATACAAAATTCGACACGTTTCCACACACATCTTGTTTTGCAATTTAGTTTAACACAATTGCATCTTTGATTTGTCCCCGATCGCCGTGTCGGGGATATTTTACAATTGTTGTCACAAGCTTTTGTTAATTGTATAGTATAGCAGCGCTGTAAAAGGACACTTGGCCTAAGTCCTTCATTCGATGTGGGATAACAAACGCTTCGATCGTTACGAACGCAATTGTTCCTTCCGTTTAATTGCGCGTATTGGAACAGAGACGTAAAAATAGACGTCTCGTTGCGAGAATGTGTAGCAGAATGTATCCTGAGAGACTTTCCGAACGAAAAAATCTGTCAACGACAGATGTGACAAAAGTTGTCGAAAATGTTGCTGTTGATTTTCTCCAAATTCAATGACAATGCACAAATTTAAAACGCACTTGTTTTTTAGTTACTTAACAATCTCTCGGAGACAAAAACAGATGAAATGCTCAAATTCTCAGTTTTCACAATGCACTTTGATATGTAACGCTTTATTATTGTTATTTACGCGCTTTAAAATTCAAGATGTCCCATTTGCTTTCGCGCAACAAATAATTGCGCGATTAAAAAAAATCTCACATTAAATTTTCTTCAAAGAGAAATAAAAATTATTGTTAGAATCTGCGAGAATTTCTGTGGGATATACTATGTGCATATAATTTTCAACAGCTGACCTGTTGGTCCGACACGATTGATAGGCGTAGTTCTTATGAATAAATGTGCCAAATAATACGATCGTTATACATTACGATAATAAAAAAACAAAAACCAAAAAAAAAAAAAAAAACCAATACGTCTGTCTGTAAACGAAGCAGATTGAGAAAAAAAACTGCTGTAAACCGTGTACGAGACAAATGTCGAAAAATTTTATGGAAGGGGGGATGGTGGCAAAAGACCTTAGTCTCTCTGTTAATTAAATTAAGATTGACAAAAAAAAGAAAAACATTGAAAAGAAAAAAAAATTATATTGTCTGTGCAAAAAATTAGTGTTAATCGCAACAAAAGAGGGTCGCGTTTCAAATTGTGTAAACATGTCAATTTGCAAAATTAAAAATAAATTATTATGTAACACTGTGTAACATTTATTCCTCTGCAGCAAATGTCTTTTACAAAATTCTTCCATATCCCTTTACAAATCTTCCGCGACAGAGCGTTGCGTTATTAATGCGTTTGCGACGGGCGCAACAGACTTGTGTGTCACACGATGATATCGCAGTGTGACTTTGAGCACCGACGCTCGAGGCGGTAGTAAACCAAACACACGGCAAACACTTTATCCACGTCGTTAAAAACGATTCTCTGCTAGACGGATGAAGAGCTTGGCGAACTCACTGATCAAGTATCTCAAAGGCGACGTTTAAGCGAAAAGAAATTACGTGGTCGCATACTTCGAAATAAACGAAGATCTCTCCACGCGAGATCTTTTGAAAGGGTGCGTTTGTTTATTGCACAAACATTTGTTTGTGATTTTTTAAATACAGGTGTTATTTGTATTGTTAAACATTACAATTAAACGTATATGTTTTATTTAAAACGTGCTGACCTGATGAAGGAGCAGATCCTTTTGATGGATTGCACGACTTCTTTATCTTCGTGAGTGAGGTCGCCGATGGTTTTGAATTCCGGTCTCAGAAGAACTTGACTTCTCACGCGCGCAGGAGACACCGACAAAGGCATCGTCAACACTTTTGACCAACTCGTCGCCTCGTAATTGGCCATAAACTGAAACATTCAGAGATCACAATAAGGTTGGTACAAAAAATAATTTTTGTTATCTATTAAACTGGAATTGTAAACAAAAAAAAACGAAATATCGAAGTTTTTTATTTTACGATTTACGTGCTGGAGAAATTTTCATCGCTAACCTGATCAAAGAACGTGTCCTCGATGTGGAACATTGTGTACGTGAGAGGCTTAACGACGGGCGAAACTTCCGGTAAATCAATCAAATCCGTCTGTCTGCTTTTTTCGTCGCAACGTAAATTATTTAACACCCAGTCGGACGCTCGGATTAAATACTCATATGTAATCTAGCACAGAAAAAAAATTATATATTATATTTTTTGGTGACATATATGACGGGACGTTAACGCGTTCCGGACGACAGGGATCGCTTCGCTCACTTTTAGAGAACGCCGTCCGTTGTGCGTGAATAGCAATTCGTCCGTGTACGTCTCGATGACACAATTCATGTTCTGTAACTCGTCGTTCCTCGAATTCTGATTCTCTCTCTCGAGGCTGTAATAAGGAGCTTTTAATTGTAAAAAAAAAAAAAAATTCGCGGAAAAATATATAAACTACAAATAAATATTAAAAACATACAAATACCTGTCTTTTACAAGAAGCACGAAAGATTCTATCTGCGCTGTGTGTTTGTTATCTTCGTCGATGCTGCAAATCGCTTCGGCGAGTGCCGTAGCGGCGGTCGTTCGATTGTACGGATTAAAAGGATTCAGCTCGCAATTGACCTCACTGTAAGTCGGAATGTCTTCCGGCTCGTTTCTCGTTGACACTTTCAGGAGGGTGGAATACAGAGCGGTGCATAACACCTGAAGCAACACGTTGCCGCCGATCGGCCGACAGTGCGCGGGAACGTGGTCGTTCAATGCGAAAGCGGCGCGCAAGACGGGAGTCGAGGCTGTCACGTACAACTCGGCGAAGCACCCGATTGCCAGAGACATAGCTTGATATATGCTGGCACCTGTCTGGATGTCGTTTGCGAAATTTATTTCAATCGCGGATCAATACTGACGCTATTGTCGAAGAATAAATGTTATTTTTTAATATACATCAGAGTACTTGTGGCAAAACGTGTAATAATTACTCTCGCAGCTTCTAAAAGCACCTCGACCACCGGCTGCATCATGGTCTTCAAAGGATTTACCAGCGCGTTGAGCCAGGGCGGTCTCGATTGGTTCCAGACCTTAAATTAGATGGTAACTAAATTATATGCGCGTCGTTCACACTTGTCGCCCATCGAACTGAGTTGTACGGCAGTAAAAGTTTTACAAATTGCAATGTAAAATTGACTCGTAAACATTAAATTTGGAATTTAATTTAAATTATTACGTAAATTCACTCTCAAATATTCTATTAAATGCATTTTAATGAGAGAGGATGTGTAAACGCACGCAATTAACTCTTGAAGTGATATGTATCGAAAAAACACACACCAACCTGTTGTCTGTCCAAATAATTAGACCAATGTGGATCTTGTTTTAACGCCGATATAATCACACGTTCCGGCTTGTTAACGGTCACCACCAATATGTGAAATAAACTGTACAACGCCAGAGCCGAAGTTATTTTCAGCGACTTGTCGCATGCCAATCCGCTGCATAGGAAACCACCGCAGCTTTGTTTCTCGTTTTTCGAATTGTCGGTTGCGTCACCGTCATCCAGACACGTGAAGCCCACGTTCTGACGTACTAAAATCCTCAGCACCATCTTGGCCACGACGTAATTGTTCATCGATATCACCTGCAACAAAAATGACCTCGTAGATCTAAACACGAAAAGCGCGCGCGCGCCATGTTGATAATCACTTTCATTAGTTGAGGCCAGTTAGGTTGAGGCTGATGCCTCATAACATTCAACTCGAGAATGACGGCGTTGTCATCGGACAGCGTCACAATGTCGGCCGGACAATCGATCGCGCCTAATAAATTCGGAGCGCATATCAAGAGCCAAGGAGCCGGGCCGCGCCGAGGCCGCATTATCGCCAGATTTTCCAATCCGTGTCGGAAGATCTGTGAATAATCTACCGTGTTACTCAACACACACCAGTACACCCTAATTTCTGCTGTTAAATTACGTTATTTAATATAGTATACGCTTATTTGTATTTGTTTAATCAATAGTGTGCTGTTTTTATTCGATTTGTTGAAAAATCGATACAATGTACGGCACAATGTACCTGATACAATTCTTTGAGAGGAGTGCCTCTGAGCAGGAGGCAGATCAAGAGTTCGTTGCATTTCGCGTGTATGTCTCTTATGGCCGTCGACAAGTTGTTCGGTCGCGCACCTATCATCTCGTTGCTGTCGACACACGCACCCAAGGCGAGGTAACCCGTGCAGCAGAGCACATTGAAGGCGTCCGACCAGAATTGCTCGGACCGCGTCAGCGACGGTCTGCCCTGTTTGATATTTTTAAAAAAGTTTTTCTCTCGTCTTCAATTTCTCAGGTGCTCGCGCGCGTACACGTTCGATAAATCGCAATTTATAAATATGTAAAACGGTGCGAACCAAAAAACTAAACAAAAAAAAGATAATCGATAAAACAAAATCGCTCGAACGATCGCTTTCGCTTCGCGTGTGATTTATAACAACTCCTTGCAAAACATTTTACAAAGATAAGAGAAAACAAAACTGAAAGAGATTAATTCAGAAAAACTAGAATCGAAGTGAGATATATCGTCGCCTTACGTGAATAAATCGAGTTGTTAGGATGGATAGGGATTCATTTAGCATTCCGGAAAATATACGCTGCGCCATTTTGGGCGAAACCGTGTTCCACAAATCCGCCTTGGTACCTTGGAAAGTACATACATTAGCGTATCGGTTTTCGCGCAAATGTTAATGCAAAAGGTTTTGCATACACGCCAACGCGTTTTGATCGGAGAATTTATTCAAGAGAGAGAGAGAGAGAGAGATTGCCGCGTTTGCCGAATATTAATTAATTTTACCTTGCATGTAAAGCCACCACATTTGTATGACGTAGGAGCATCGCTCCCTTTCGAAGAATGGTTTATTGCTGTGCCAGCTGAGAGAGTCCGCCTCGTTAAGAATGTACAAGGAAATTAATCGACAGTGCAGATCGAGCAATCTCTCCGCCACGGCCTCGGCCATCTCGTGGAATTCTTTGTAACATTTGTTAACTTTTTCACTGTTCAAAAAACAAAAAAAACAAAAAATAAAAGAAAAATTAAAGAAACAAAAAGTATGTTTTTTTAGACGGGAAAGGAATTTCTTTGTGATAAAAAGATATACTTGGATTGAGGTGAGATTGTTCCTTTTCCGTGCTGGCTGTAACACCACAAACAGTTTCGTATCAGCGCTGCTGCGCCCAAAGTGGCGGTGAGCACCGTGAGATCGGCGTGATCCAGAGATTCTTGAATCAACGTGTGCAGATGTTCTGCGGAAAGTGTCAGTTTTAAAACACGACATGCTGTTTCCGCGCGCGATTTTGTTTAAACAATGAGTTTACGTTAAAAAATCACATATATGTTATTACCAAACCTTTTGAATTCTCTCGAAAACAATAAGAGGATAGAAGAGCCACGAAAACTCACAAATATGTTAATTGATTGATTAAGAATTGATTTTCTTTAGAAAATTTGGTCGCGAGGAACGTGCGCGCGTAGAGTTCCGACAATCTCAAGTTAATTTGTTTGTACAGAGTGTGTGTATATATACCCAGCAAATGTTCAGCTGTGTCGACTACGAGCGAAATAAATTCGTTCGGCTGGATTCGCTTGATAACGCCGTCCTCGCTGTCGTCCACGCTGGACGCGATTCCGTCATCTTCGGACGAACTCAATCCGGAAGCGCGCTTGAAAGCGGTCGAAAAGTCCGCTTCCCACCACGTGACTATTTTAATCGCGGCGAAAGAGGCGTGCCGTGGAAAATCGAGCTTCCCGCCGCTGATGCGTATGCACAACGGTTCTCTCAAAACAGTTTGCATTTCCTGTTGCGAATTATCGCGTTTAGTGAACAGGTTTAGATTCACATCTTGACCTTAATTCGATTAAATTCATAATTCTGATCGAATTAAAGTTTACATCGTTTCGACGTATCGATCGATTCGTCAGACACGACCAATGCGATTGGCCAATGCGAACCTAGACTGCGCTCGCGATCGTCGCGAGCGCCAAGTGGAACTTACTCGATACCTCGCAAAACGAAACAATTTTAGATTCGATTACTCGCATGTGCGCGCGATAATTTTTCGCATGTACCTGATAATATTGCATGTCCCGTTGTAATAAAATCCTCACTCGATCAACCAAATTCCCATCCTCCATAATCTCCATTTTTGCTCTGTCGAATAACGCATTAAATTATTGCCTATCCAATCATTTTATTATATACGTGTTTGAATGTGCGCAAATTATCTAAGTGCGATTTATAAATAAACCAGTGATTAAAGCGCAGGATAACTTGTTTACTGCAATAAATATTTTAATGCGGCGGTCGTGTATTTAATAATAAAAACAAAAATAAGAAACTTGCACCCGCAAACTATTAATTTAATAATAAATAAAATATACCAATGTGCAAACTATGTGCGCGCGTGTCGTTATTATAAAAATTGGATCTCTTTATTGCAATACAAGCTATATAACAAAATTCATTTGATTAATTTTACATTTACTTACACAAAGATCTTGAACGAAGCGGCTTAGATATTTCCTTCTATTTTATATATATATATATATACAATATTTTCACAAATTAAATTATATCTCTTGCCACTTCTGTACAAATAAAAAATTTATATAAGACTCACATAAGTTATTTTAATAATTAAGATTTTCCCTAACATTATTTCTCAGACAGACTATCTATCGTAGTTTGTGTTTTCTCTACCGCTAAACGCACATCTATCGAAGCATGCTCGATTTCTTATAATAATCGGTATTTCGTTATTAAGCAGCTCGTGTAAACTCTTGCCGTCGTGTTTGTATATCCACTGGCCGTTTATGAAATCGTAACGTTTCGGTCCGGATTTCGGAGAGGATAGCCAAATTTGCTTGTTCGGCGTCTGGCGATTTATAACGTAAGTGCCATAGGGGTCGCCAAATTTTACGGTCAGTACACCATCCTGCGAAAAACATGTCAAATGTTATTCGTATGATTAATCATAAACATTTTTTTTTAATTAACGCACGTACTCCGTAAGACACGTCTGCATCCGGCAAGTGGGCTGTTGCCTCGAGTAGTTCCTCGAAGTACTCCGTTAACGAGTCCAACGTCTCGTTGCAAATCTTCTCATACTGCACAAGGCTCAGTTCACTGCGAACAAAATTGTGTAACCGCATTTATCTACAATGTACAATTTCGTGACGTTAAAAGCAACTTGCTTGCGCGCACCATATCAATAAAAAAAAAAAAAAAGAGGTACCTCTCCGTTGGATGCGGCGAACCAGTATCGGAATTAAATCCTCGCACAGACAATTGCGGAAATATTCGACGTTGCTTCTTCAAAACACGTGTCGAGTGAAGTTCGACATAACCTCTGACGCAATTCCTAGATCTGTCCGACGACCGGATAATTGAAAGTTTGTTTAACAAATTGCGAGAAAGCCTCGATACAACGCCAGATCTTGTTGCGCTGATCGACATGATAACAATCTCTCTCTCGAGTCTGTATCGATCAAACAAATTCTCGAGTTGGACGTCGCGCGGAGAAGTTTCCTCGCGTGTTTACATCCCTCGTGTCGCGGAACAGAACCGAACACGTGTAGTGTGTGATTGACTGAGAAGATGGCTTCGTAGTTCCGGCGTGCGCCACCGCGCACGCATTGGCGCTTAAATCACTCGTCTCAAAATTCGGAATGTTTAATTTTGACTTTTGACACTTGCGATAATGTAATCAAAACGCACAGTGATTGATGCTACGCTTTATTATACCGTGCGTTTTAAGGTCTCGGAGTGTCGAACAAGTAAATGTTTTTCCAACAAGCAAGTTATTTGTTTCGTACGCGAGAAGAGAACACGGCAAAATGGTTAAGTATCTGAATCAGTCGGAAGCCATCAACATCGACAAGGATCTGTTCGAGAACTACAAGTTCAGCGTCGATCAGCTGATGGAACTGGCCGGACAGAGTTGCGCTGTTGCAATTGCCAAATCCTATCCGCTGTCGGAAGGTTCCGCCGCTGCGAACAGGGTGCTGGTGTGTTGCGGACCGGGCAACAACGGCGGCGACGGTCTTGTCTGCGCGAGACATCTGAAACACTTTGGATACTCGCCGGAAATTTACTATCCAAAACGGCCGAGCAACGCGTTGTACGAAAGATTGTTTCATCAATGCGTTGAAAATGACATTCCCGTGCTGGAGTGGCAACAGATAGAGAAAGCGAGGGATTCCACAAGTTTGCGGGAATACAACGTCGTCGTGGACGCTCTTCTCGGATTTAGTTTCAAACCGCCGGTCAGAGAGCCGTTCGTCCAAATCATTGACTTGCTGAAAACCACAACTGTTCCTATTTGTAGCGTTGACATACCCTCGGGCTGGCACGTAGAGAATGGTCCGCCAGAAGAGGGTGGCATAACGCCACAGATGTTGGTATCTCTGACAGCACCGAAGATGTGCGCGACCAAGTTCAAAGGAAGATTCCACTACCTGGGCGGACGCTTTGTGCCCAAGAAGTTGGAATTGCAATACAATCTTGAATTACCAAAATATCATGGTACTGATCTTGTTACTCAATTGTAATAACCGATCCTTTCTCTCCTTATGAGAGAAAATACATTCAATGTTTTGTATTGATTATATTGTAAAAAAAAAAAAAACACAGTTATATTGTATCCAGTTTGTACGTTTTACTTTTAAAAATATAAATATCTTTACAAGCAACATGTCTCATTCGAATTAGAACACACTCTCTTCACAGTTCAAAAAAACTTTATAATTATAAGATGTGTAAAATTTGTGTTCTCGTAATAACATTTTCTGCCCATTGCTTGTAAATTATAACTGCGGTCTGTTCTGTGGATCTTTAAATATTTCTTAAATTATAAAATTATTGAAAAAACTCACTCTAGGTACATGTGAGCATTCTACTTTTTATTTCTATATAGTTTTTGAATTTGACAAGCGTTATTTTTTAATCTTAACTTTCATAGAAGTCTGTGACTCAATGACGTGTTTTAGCTAATGGGATGAGCGTTTCGGTATAATGACTGAGTCTTTTTGCGGAGGGAATCCCTGGAGAAAAATACCGGAGGAGACACCGCAAGAATGATGAGAGAGGGAACGCGACAGCGCACTCACGTATCATTCAAGAAATTTATATATATCGCACGCGTCGTAATCCGCCGGTCGATCTCGCGGCTCAATAAATATCGCGTCTGTAACGCCGAGAATCGGCAATCGCAATCATGTTTGTGCGCCGAGTTGATCGCACGTTGACGTTCCGGCTAACGACGACGCTCGCATTGGCGTGTATACTCGCGAGATTGGTGCGTTCCTACGTGCTGCCGGATCCGACTTTTGAGGTGCTGAAGCCGCAAGGTCTTCGAGTTTCTATACCCGGTAGGTTTAGGCGGCTTTCATCCGCCGAGAGATCTCCGATTTCTCGTCTTTGAATTTCGAGGAAGAAAAGATTAGCAGTTGACAATTTCCGTAATTGTTTGCAAATTTTATAGAAAAAAAAAAAAAAAAAAATTGACGTGTCCGGCGTTTCACATGTATCGCAAGCAAGTTCGAAGTTTCAAGTTTTCCAATTCAACATACACACACTCGTCGTGAATGTAACACGAAAAAAATACATTACTTTCGCGTGTAGTTCCGTGAATTTTGCCAGCGCAATTGCCGATGTAGACGTTATCGTTAAGTTTATCTATATGAGAGGTCAAACTTTTAATACAAATCTCAAGTATTATTGACACAATGTATGTATCAGATTTAATTTTCTCTTGTAAGAAAAACAATAAAATATACAAAATTATTGTGTTTATAAAAATACACAAATTAGATAAAAATTAGATTAAAATTATTAAATAAAAATTAGCTTTTTGCGTGCGAAAAACATGTGCTTTGGGATTTTTCGAGATATATGATTACCATTACAATACATTTGTAAGAAAAACCATTACGAAGTTGTTTCTCGGAAAGCTGACGCGAATCTTATTAGCATTAAATGTTAGATAGTGTTGAAAAAAAAGATACAGCGATAACAAAACGTGTGTAATTGCGCGACCGACAGATGCACCGGGCTTGAGACTATTTGGATTTCACGCCAATCTCAACAAGGCCATTCGCGCCAACGAGCACGGCGAGATCACGGGGGATGCTTACGCGGCGAGAGACGGCCGCTGGACCGTCGAGAATTCGGATGTGACCATAGCGAACGGGGACACGCTTCATTATTGGATCTATGCGCAAGCTGATGGGGGTAACAGCAGAAAGAACGATCAGAGATGGACGTATTCCTGTAAGATTAAACAAATTTTTACAATAAAAAAAATAAAACTATCAATGTTTAATAAGTGAAACAACTCGTGAGAAAGAAACGGACCAAAACGAGTCAAGGATGTTGGTGTAAAATGTAGTTTTCTTTAAAAAAAAAGAAAAAAAATAGACGTTTGGAACGAAATAGATTGCCCAAATTATTTTTTAAATTAAAACTAGATTTTTGTACCAACATCCTGAACATTGTCTCGCACTGGTCTAATTGCTTAAAACATCAATGTGTATCATTGCTAACACAACACGTGCGTTGAATTAACAAAAGCTGTAGGAGACCAAGACATCGATCAGGTCGCCAGTCAGATGGGCACCGATGAGGAAGATGCCACAACGGAAACCACAGGCCGGTTGCTGCTCGAAGATAATTTCAACTTCTTGAACGAGTCATTGTGGAAGCGCGAGATAAAGATGCCGTTAGAGCCGGTGAGTGTTTCGACATGTACTTTCTTTCCGTTCTCATGACGTTGAAAGGAAGAAAATTTGTGAAAACGCGATGTTAGTTTCTATTGTGTTTGTTTTTAAAAACAAAATTCTTGTTCGAAATCAGGACTACGAGTTCTGTGTGTACCACAACGATAATCATCCGCAGCTCGTGCGACTCAACAAAGGTCGGTTGATCATCAAGCCGATTCTACTTGAAGACAATTACGGCGAGAACGCGACCACGTACGGACGAATACAACTTAGCGGGTAATTTTCTGTTGGACAAAAAGAAAATCCTCCCATTTTTCTTTCATTTTCTCTCGCAATGGATGCTTTTAGATGCACGAGCACGGTTGATATCGAGTGCTCGCGAAAGGCGATGTCGTTTAGCATCCTGCCGCCAGTTATATCTGCGCGGTTCACCACGAGGGAACAGTTCGCCCTGCAATACGGCAAGATCGAAATACGCGCCAAGTTTCCCGAGGGTGACTGGTTGTATCCAGGTAATTTTGCAAAATTAACCAACTTCTTTGTCAAAGAAACTTCGCGTTAATCAATTAACGAGCGTTCTTCGCTTCTTCCGCAAGAAATGTGGCTCGAGCCGAGATACTCCATGTACGGGTCGAACTACGCGAGCGGTCGCGTTCTTCTGGGTCTGGCGCGCGGCAACGAGAACCTGGTGAACGCCAGTGACGTCTCGAAGATCTACGACACCAGGAGATTGGATTTTGGCATTAAACTAGGCGCGTCTCCGAATGTTCGAGAGATACTCGTCTCGAAGGTGCACGAGCACGGGACGCAATGGACGCGAAATTTCCACACGTACACGACGATCTGGACCAGCGACGGGTTCACGTTTCTGGTCGACGGCGAGGAAGTCGGCCGGGTAACGCCTGACGGGAAGGGATGGTTGACCGGTTCTAACGCGGACAGGAAAGCCGCTCCTTTTGATCAAGAGGTAACGTCGAACTGTAAGATAAATGTGATGTTCAATAAGTAGTTTTTTTATTAAATTGCACTTTTGCGCAACGACAGTTCTACATTAGCCTCGGCGTCGGTGTGGGAGGATTGCGCGAGTTCCCGGACGGTACAATTAGTTCGGGAACGGAAAAGCCGTGGACAAACGTGGGCGCCAAGGTGAGAGATAGAACAATAACGTTCGAGACAATTTCGTTCACAAAAGGCGAGCGTTTCATTCGCGCGGTTTTTGTTTTTCGATTACAGGCAATGCTGAAGTTCTGGAACTCGCGAAACACATGGCTGCCAAGTTGGAGACGAAACCGCGGCGAAAAAACTGCCTTCGAGATAGATTACGTTCGAGTGTGGAGTCTCTGAGTCAATGTGGTCTTTTGTTATTTATGTTATTGTTTAGTACACGTCTGATTTTGTATTGTACATTTGATGTTGTCGTACGTTTCCCTTTCCCATACGCACAACCGAGTTTAAATCGTTTAAATTTCCGATCCAAGGATGACAACGAAGATTACAACGTTGCCCGAGGTGCGCTCGAGATTCCTGCGGAGAGGCATAAAATCCTTTTTTCTTTTTTTTTGCGCCGGTGCAAACGCAATCGAAGAATTTTGTAATTGGACCCGCTCCGTTTCTGTAAAAGGATGAAACGGATGTTTTCTGTCTCTCCGCGAAATCGGAAAGAAATTCAGGGTCGCCCGGAGCTGGTTCTACCTTTAATGCTCCTGTCCGCCGCTCGGACGATCATCTCTCCCCTAATAAATGTTCCCTTTGATTGCTACACGAGCGTAAAAAGGTTCCCCCTTCCCTCCCTTCCGACATTTACGATCAAAACGCATTTCCGACCGAACACTATTTCGTGCGTTTGCGCAGCGTTTCTAAGTAATTGCATCACGTTGCACGTATTAAAAAAAAACGTCTATCTCGTAGCTAAAAATATATCCGATTTGATCGGTTTTACCGGCTCGCAAGGTCATCTCGCACTCGTCTTTCGCAAAGAAAAACGAATTTCTTTGTTGCAGCGAGTAAATACTTCGAGCACTTAATTCTCTCTTTCTGCGCGCGAAATTCTTACGTCCCGATTGACGGACAAAAAATATTTTTCACGCGACTCACAGACGGAACGCGGCGACAAAGGAAAAAAATGACAAATGCAATGCCAACTTTCGACCTGGTCCATCCATCCTTCAAACCGGTTTACCTCGGTTAATATTATAGTGAAAGAGAAGAAAAAAGGAACGGCACACACGCGGCTTCTCTTCCGTCGTATCACGTTTTTTTTGATGCCGATGTTGGTTGTCGGAGACCAATTAATTGAACGTCCACTAATACGGCGCGCACGTGTGCCGCGGTATCGGTAAATAAAATCTCGATGTAAGTCGAACGAACTCCTCGCAGTTCGGCTTTGACGTCTTGTCCGGTTTTGTTTGCTCCCTCTTCTCTATGCTGCGAAAACTTTTTCTTCACGTTCCGCAGTCGATCGATAGCTCTCACGGTAGCCGCCAGCACGAGATCCTCTCCTCGCAGTCCGATAGACGACTCCGCGCGACTTGATTTCTTATAAGAGAAGAAAAAAACAGCTTACATGTTAATGTCGACGCGTTTGATCGACAGTGTTTGATCGTCCGTGTTTGTTGGATTTTTTTTTTTTTTTTTTTTTGATGAAAAATGACGGGTCTGGGCAAAGCGACTGTCATTTTGATCGTTCTTGTTTGGACCGGCGATTCTTTGGCGAGCCATCATCGCTCAAGGCGATCAAGTAAGTGACGCTACGCGCGCTTGTACGATAATTAAATAACGTTACACGTTATACATATATATTGTATATAAACGCAATTGTAGTGTTGTTTTGTCCTGTGAAAAACTACGAAATTGCCAAATCGTATGGTCGAAGTGTCTCAAAACACATTTTAAATACCACACACATAATAGCATTTACATTGTTTACATCTAGAAAGAGGTTTGTTTCTTACATTACGTGAAAAACAACTGAAAAATATAAAAAAAAATATGTAGGAAATTTTTATAGAAAAAAATCAAAGTCTCAAATACCTCTTTCGCTGGGTGCTTGGCGCGAGTTTACACATGACATTGATTTATCATCCTATTGAACGCAAGATTTTTCGCAATAATTCATACGTACGTATGAAGATGTTGTCACCGTGCACGTGCTGAAATATAAATCAAGCGCGCGGTGTCAGCATCTCACTTGTTTCCTCGGTGGTTGAATAAAAAGAGTCGCAATTCAGAAAATATATTTTATCACGTTGTCGGTGAAACCGGATTTTCTAATCATCTAAAATTACATAAGAGAATTTTATTTCAGACAACGAGTACATACTGCACAGGTGTACCGCCACTGCGGAGTTGATCAGAAAGCACAGGCACGAGGGAGCGTCGGTCGGCGTCAGTTCGCGCAAAGCCGAGGAAGATTCGCCGCCGCAAACGCTCCGCCGAGATTTGGCGACCGACGTTTTTCAATCCGATGCTCCCAAAGATACACCGAGCAGCGTTTATCGGCGCACAACTCACATGAGAAGACGCGCTAACGGGCATTCGCGTCGAATCGCAGACAGACAAGCGACGGACACGCCTCTGAAAACGGTGAACATCAATGCGCCGAAGGACAGACCGTCCGCTTTCAGAAAGAAGAACCCGTTGCCGGAACTCGCGCACGACATATCCGGCAGAAAACTCGACTCGTCGCCGAACGTGATAATCATCAAGCCCGTTACTTAAGTTCCCAACAGCAACGCTCGCAACAGTGTCACTCCGCAAATTCCGATTCTAACGACACAAAATACTTTTGTAAATGCTCTTTAAAAAATAATAATAAAGTAAAGTAACAGCACAAGCTGCGAACATTGCTTTAAAACTCGGAGTATCTTTTCTGTAGCAACAACTTTGTCAACGTGTCCTTTCCCTAAATATTGTAAGTAATTTTTTACAGGATACGATAGTTATTACAATATAAATTTCGAAGATTTATGTATCGCAACATCGTGTCGTATAAATAAACAAATCTTCGAGTAGATGTTTTCTAAAATTTATGTGGAAAAATTGATCTACAATATCTTGTTATTGTACAACGATGGAACAATTGTTTACAAATATAAATACACATGATGCGTACGTTACCGTTATGCATTGCACTTTGCTGCCACGCTCTCAGGTAACTTTTGCAACTCAACCTGCAACAAAACAAATGTCCCGGATAAGCTAAATGTTAAATTTTAACTATGCACTTCGTTGTTTCTCTTGTAAAATTATGAAACTCCGACCTTGGTCACTTTCATTGCCACACCTTCCGGCAAGTTTCTCTGAAGATACTCCAGAAAGGTGTCCGCGGTTGATCCGGTTAATCTCAAAAAGTCGATGTATCGATAGTAAGTCCTCATTTCGTACTGAACTCTGTGCTTTTTGTGAACATGAGCGGACTTCAACACCGTCCATCGTTCGTGAATAGCTTTGTGCGGCGCTGTGCTGTGTAAAAAAGAAAATACAAATTACAAAACACATATATGTGTTAAAAAAAAACATTTTAATAATTGGTCTAACACTTAGATGAAACAAATTTCTCTTACTGTCTGCCCACAACGATTTCCAAATGATTTGCAGCCGTCACTGCAAATGTGCCGTAGCTCTTCAACACTGCTGGGTCGTTACCTCTGACCTCAACTTCAATTTTTTTATACAATTTGTCCGGTGTGCTCTAAAAAAATGAATTTTTATCTACTTTGTTTACTTTTAATAATAATAATTACTCAAAAAGCACATACCGTGTTTACTGCTTGTGAATGCGAGTCCTCCTTTGTCGAATCTTGTTGTTGTTCATTTTGTTGCTGCGCCGACGATGAAAAGTGAGATCTGTCGCACCCAGAGAACTTGTGCGTGAAAATACCAGCGTGTCCTGATTCACTTCGAACACTGATTTGAACAGCATTTCTAAGAAGAGACGGTATCTAACGAAACACGGTTACAGGTTTAACCTCAAATCGCAAATTTGCTCTGTAAACTTTGTGACGACAGGAAATCTTGAATTTACCTTTGACAGGAACATTTCTCGACGTTCTCGACGGCTCGTCCGCGAATCAAGTCAACAAATAACGACAATCCGACTTTCTGTTTATTGTTCTTGCATTTTATTTTTCCGCGTAAACACACACACATACACACAGCCGTCCGCTAGTGTGACACCGCGCAAACTAAAATTCGTTCACAGATAATTATGACGTCACTGTACAATACATGTATTGAGAATTGCGCGCGATTCAAGTTATAGAAAACGCACGAAAAAAATAGGTTTTCGCAACGCGAAGAATTAACCATTTTTGTAACGCAATTTATTTTCTAAATTTCATAATGAAAAAAATACAATTTATAATTGCACAGTTATACAAATACAAGTTTGGTGGTGTACAAAATTAGTGCATATATATATACTCATTATCTGTATGTATATAACTTGCTTTATTCTAAAATTAACATTATTTTTAAATTTCCAAGGAACAAATTCTCCGAATGCGTTCTAACAACGTCAAGAAATACAAATCCGCAGGTGTTTGCGTTCTCGCAAAACAAAAAAAAAAAAAAAGCAGAAGAGTCTTATTGAACGAAACTATGGATCATCATAAAACAATCTGTATCTCAGTGAGAGAAAGAGAAGATATAAACTGATACAAAAAAAAGAAAAAAAAGAAAAAAAAAAAAAATTTCTATCTCTTTCGCAGAATAAATTCGTTATCGGAAATATTTGAAACCGATTTTTACTTTCAATTCGCGTTGAATGTTTTTTTTGCCATTTTTGGAATAAAACGGATGTATTTTTCACATCTTATAATAGAGAATTCGAATTAAAACGCAAAGCATTACTAGGTCAATATTCTTTCCGAAGAATGAAGTGCGATTATTTGGCCACGAACAACGGACGCTTTCACAAGTCTCATCGGATTTTCTTGTGTGAAAAAAAAATTTGATAAAGCTATCAAAAAAAAAAAATAAAAAATAAAATTAACTAGGTTTGAGTGGACTACAATTTGACAAATAGAAATGTGAATGAACATTGTTTATCATGTAACATATATTTGATTCGTCACGTACGTACTAAGGCTGATGATCGGGTAATAAAGATGCCCGGGTATTCGATTTCCATCTCGCTTGTATACGAATAACATTCGAACCAGCGAAACTGAGCTCGAGTACTCCGGGTTATCCGGGAGGATCACCAGCTCCAAGATATATAATTCTTTTTTATTGCGATATTTATAAATCTAACATTTAATCTATTACGAAACTTGTTGCGTTAACTTATATTATAATTTATATCAATGCTTCGTAAATTGAAATGTTTTTTTTAAACAACGTAAAGTGTTGGTTTACTGGTTATCATTAAGGCGTGTGATATATTTAACGTCTATTTTTCATCATGTTCGACACAAACCGCTGAGCTTGGGACTGGTTGTAGTTTTGCTGGGATTGCCAATTGTTTGATCCAACGTTCAATTGCCAATTGTTCGACATCAATGATTTCTTATTCATGTCGTTAGACACGAGGGATTCGCGTTGGGACGTCCCCCAGCGCGAATCGTTCATCTTGTTTTGGCTTGGTATTTTAATCGGGAAAGCTTGCGATTTGTTCTGCCAATTGTCTTTTGATCTAGCCCACGGCTCCACTGTGTTAGTCTCCCTCCATACGGATTTCGACTCATTTGCCCATCTTTCTTTCAATCCGACATTATTATCTTCGTCACCCCAGGGATCTCGCGCGTCTTCTGGCAAATCGTTCCAATCTTCCGCGTCTTCCTGATTCCACTGGTCGTTCGGTACCGACTGTTCCCAAATCTGCGTCTCTTTATGGCCACCACCACGACTGTCCTTGTTTCGATTCCAGTTTTCGCCACTCATTTTCGAACCAGATGGTCCGCCAGACCATCTGTTTTCTGAGGATTGCCACGGTTCTTTCACACCAGGATTAGCAGACCATGAGTTTCCGTGAGATGACGAATCTCTGGTATCCCAAGGTCTGTCCTGATTAGACGGCTTACGGTATCTGTCGTCACCGGAAGTTTGCGGCCAATTTCCGCTCGTTGTCGGTTGTCTTTCGTTCACAGATCGTTGCCAAACGCCACCCTGTTCGAACGCACCTCTGCTAGGTATGTCCCAATCATCCGCGAATCTATTAGGCGGTGCGTTTTGATGTCTCGGTGGTGATTGTTGTCGTCTTGGGGGGGATAAGAGACGTGGTGGCATTTGATGTGGCGAAAATTGTCTCAGAGGTGACTGACGCCTCGACAGCATCATGTCTCTCTGTTTTGTCGGAGACATTTTGTTGACGGGCGTTACAGGCCTCCTTCTTTCCGGAGACAACTGACGTCTCACAGGCGATGATGACTGTCTTACGGGATACCACGTCGATGAGTCTTCGTATTTCATCTCCGGAGACGCTTGTCGTCTCGGCGGAGATATTGCCAGCCTTTGCGGTGACAATTGCCGCCGTGTCGGCGACATTATGCGACCGATATCCATCAACCGCCTTGGCGGTGACATTGTTCGATTAATAGGCGAGTAAGGACGCCTGGGTGCCGTCATTTGACGTCTGCCACCAGATGTGGATTGTCTCGGGGGCGATATTAATCGTTTCTGAGGATATTCCCGATACGAAGAAGACTCATGCGCTTGATACACCCTGTCCGGAGAGAGATGTCTCCTGGGTGGTGAGTCTTCCGGAGGTGCTAGATATTCACGTGTCGGGGATGACATTCGATTTCTATTTGGCACATCGTCATGCCTCCTTCCCGCATCGTTCCATCGGTTTCTATCGAAATTTTTATTCTTATTCCAATTATTTTGATTCTGTTGCCTGCCCTTGTTATTAAACGATCCCTTTTGAGAGGATTGTTTGTTCGGGGTATTTATCGGTATTATGTCAGGGTCTAGCGGCGGCAAGTTGTGATATTTCGTAAGTTTCGGCTTAGGATCGTCAGTTTCTAAATATTCTTTGTTCGGCATTGTGATAAGAATGTCCTGCGCACGAGTTTCGTGAATAAATCGATCTTTCAGAAGAGGATCGTTATCGATATCTTTTTTTCGCTGCATCTTGTACTCGTTCTCAGGTGGCGCGATGCGATCCCACACGGAGGAAGATGAACGCGGAGTTTGATCTAGGACCAAACTCAATACATTCTTCAATTCTTTAGCGGTCATCGCGTCAACCTTAGGCGACGGTCCGCTCAGCTGTTCTTTCGCCGCTTCGAGGATCTTACGACTCTCGTTTACCTTCTGTATCAAATCCATTTCGGTTCGGCTACTCGACAATTTTTCTCTCAAGTCCGTCTGGTCTTTATTTTCTCTTACTTTTTTCTCGAATAGTGGATTAATGCAAATTGACGAATTGTTCTGATTCCAATTCTTTTTCTTAGCTGCATCAAAACGGAGGATTTTATTAGATATGTATAATGTAACACACACACACACATACACATGTGTATATTTTAATACGTGTTCAATTAATTTTTTAAGCAAAACTTACCCTGTTTCCATGGCTTAGATCCAGGCTTCTCCGATTTCTTTGGCACTTTCTCAGATACTTCTATTATGTCCGGAGAGTGATCTCGCTTCAATTTCGCTTTGTTCCCCTTCATCGGGGAACCTCCGCCGGGTTTCGCGGGACTCTTGTTTTTCAATTGCTTTCCGACTTCGAATTTCGCTAAGGGATTTTTTCTCAATTGCAAATCGACATTGTCGTTTTTCTCGATTATTTTCTCTAACGTCCCACTGTTAGCCATTGATTTGCTTTCCTCCTCCAACATCTCGATAAACCACGGCTGCGTGAGTCTGTGCATGAGTCTACGTTCCATTAGAATAACCGACTCAAAGTAAGACCCGTTTGGCAATATGTCGACGGCGCACGCCCGTATCGGCATGAACGGATGGCCGAGTCCACCTTCTATGGGCCGCGCCAGTTCTAATATCGCCCGTACCGATTGTTTTGTCATCGTGGTGATCATTACGATACGTCGTAGAGAAGTCAGTTTTCTCAAGCAAGTCATTACTTCGATAGCTAAAAGATACATCACAATTTGAAAATGTCAGTTATTAAAAGAAAAGGACACGTTGTTGTGCCACGAGCGGAACACTGAAATTACTCAAGTGTTACCGATTACAAATTGCCAATTTACACCAGCAACATTAAGGAGTTACAAACGTTTATATTGTGCATACCTCTACCCATAATGGTGTTCGTGTTGATTATACAGAAAGTCGAACGATTTTTATTGTGCAAATCGCGCGCAGAGTTTAATTTAGCTACAACTTCCGCCGGAGTTCCCACTATGAAAGATACATTGAATATTTTGTTTAATTCAGCCGTCATTTCAGCTTCTTCTACCTCGGTGGGTGTATCGACTCCAATCAATTCTCGACATTGCTGTTACAATACAACGACATGTACGTGTGTATATAAATTAATTGTTCTATTAATTTGATTTAAGCGATAACACGCGTTCTCCGATTGCGTGTTATTTCGACAATGTAAGTCGATTACATATCACGTCAATCGGTGATTTCAACTTATTAATAATGCGTGTGTTTGCTTGCGCGTGTTAAATTACGCAATGTACTTACAGACGCCAACGAAAGCCCAATCACGCCAATCCCACAACCGATTTCGATTAATGTCGTTTTTGTCGTTGGATTAAGCATGTCCTTGACCGTTTTAACTAAATTCCACGCACCGGCAGCGCTAGACCAAAAGTTTGTCTTTGGCGCGAGCTGCAGTTTTAAATCACCCACGGCTTCTTCTAAAGCCTCTGCTCCAACTAAGAATGTCGTAACAACGTTGACTTTATCGTCACATCTGAAATAAACGCAGATATTGCAAATTTCTGCTGTTTTTTTTTTTTTTTTTAATTTTTTTTTAGAGCAGTCTCCGATTTCCCGTCGGATTTTCTTACTTGTTTATCGATTTGCAATAGAAAGACTTCACGTTGCAATTGTTTCCCGCACCGTACTCGTACGTCTGCTTCAAACGGTCCATTGTGCCCCGACTGATATTCTTTCCGGTTGCAAACAGCATAAGTTCATCTATGCTGTTGCAACGTATCAACAACCACAACCATTCTTGTTTCTCGTCCGACTCACCCGCCTCTTTTTTCACTTCAATAATAGATACTTCGTCTGAATTCTCTTGGAGCAACGGTTGTTTTATGGTCGTTTGAAGAAAATCTTCAAATATCTGCATTCAATATCGGTATTACGCAATTTTTCGTAACTCATATTTAAATTTCTATTTTTACATGCTATCACAATTACATATAGATCGTTTGGTATTTCTTCTATATGTAATAATAAATTTTACAATTATCGAAAATAGAAAAAAGTGCGATTTAAGTAACAATAATTGTTATTATATATTTGTAAGCCCGTTTTTTGTTACATAGCCATACATTACTATGGTACATAAATATTTTATTTGTTTATGTTGGTTTTTGTTATTGTGTTTTAAGTTTATCTTTTACAAATTGATAAACTTGTGTGTTTATCCATACATCTGCCATTTTGTGAGAGCAACACTGAAAATATTTCAGCTAATTTGTCTGCTCTCTTGTTTTCTCTTGCTCTCTCCCCCACTCAATGATTTAGCACAGAGATATATCACAGACAGATCTGATATGAACGCTAACGGTTCTCTTGTGTGTACTCATTGTATGTATTAAAATCACTAAAAAAGTATCTTGTTGATCATACTTCGGCAGAATAAAAGTATGACACTTTTCTAAATTTTTATCAAATATTTGTTATTGGTCCCTTGACGATAAATTTCTTTAATATACATTTTTGCACTTTAATAGCGCAGTCCATGTATTGCAATGTAAAAATTAATCTCCACGTACTGCAAGCACGTAGAGATTAATTTACATATGTATAATTTTGTTTATTCTGTTACTTTTTGCAATAGTAACGTTTCATGTGTGTAATTGTTTACTTGTATATATAACATTTCTCAAATCTTTCATTTTTTTACAACAAATATATAAATTATTTCTTTATATTGTTTATACTTTCTTTGAATTAGTTTTATTTACAGATACACATGTGTGTGTATGATAAATTTTTGAAAATGCATTTTAATATAATGCACGCGTGTCATTACACGTCCTTTCGTAAGAAACTGTATTTAATAGTTTTGTTTTTGTATATATTAAAAAAATATATACTTGTTGTTTAATATTTCATAGAAGTGTTTTTTGCATGTTTGCTGTCTGTCTTAAAAAATTTAAATATTTTGCACAAAATTTAATGTATTCAAAATGAGATTGAAAAAGTTTATTCGTTTTTGTCAAAATAAACGCTATAAAAGTAAAAAAAAGACGAATAAACCTTTTACAATGAGCTTTACCTTCACAGCTTGTAACACAAAAGCTGGTATGTCCGTTTTGTCACCAGTAACGCTTCCCGACACTAATTCAACGGACCATACTACTTTACCGTTTTTGTTGCTAGAACTTGGATTATCCGTGTTCTGGGGATCTTCCAAAACTTTTTCTTTGCCTAAACATATCCCGTATTACGTTATTTCACGCAGTGGAAGTTACATTACATTACGATTATACCGTGTATAAAATATCTTCTATGTATTAAAATTTGGATAAAATAAAAGTCTAGTGTCAAAGTTACTCCGAAACACAATTCTTGTCTTTTACTTACATGCGAACTTCCATCGATTACCGTGTAGTTTGTTCGTTGAACAAGAACGAGGTGGATCTATTCTACAAATAGGTGTACCTGCTATTTTCTCTATTCTTTCTAACCATTTTCCATAATGAGGATAAGACACTGTCAACACTCGGGCTAACTTTGACATTCTGTGCTTCAGAAGAGTATCTTTGTGTTGAAGCTGGAAAAGTTAAATTTCATATAATGCAATGCAATTTTTAGTTTTTAATTCACTAAAATAGAAGAATATGAGAATACGTAATACCACCTTCTTTTTATACCACTGTTCTTCTGTATTTTCATCATCAATTATTGTTATTTCTTCTCTTTCTTGTTTATTCTGTTCATCCTCGTCATTTTTAGAAGATTCAAATTGCATGGCTTGATCTATACTCTGATTTACACCAAAACTATTTGGATTCAAGTCAATCTTTTCTATAACATCCAGATGTTGCATCACTTCTTCATCCGTGATGTCTTTTTGCGGATTAAATTGATCCAAACTGATATCAGCAGTAAAGTCCATAAAATCATTATTGGTTGCTTCTTGAACACTGATATCAGCAGTGAAAATCATAGATTCATTATCGGCTATTTCTTGAGTAGTGTTGATATCAGCAGCAAAGTTCATAGATTCATTATCGGTTGTTTCTTGAATATTGGTGATATCAGCAGCGAAGTTCATAGAATCATTATTGGTTGTTTCTTGAACAATGCTTATATCATCAGTGAAGTTCATAGAATCGTCATTGGTTGTTTCTTGAACAATGCTGATATCATCAGTAAAGTTCACAGAATCATTATTGGTTGTTTCTTGAACATCTATCACCATGACTGGTTTGTCTGTATTGTTATTCTGCGACTGTACATTATCTATAAAAATATAAGTCTTAAATTGTAAATAAAGTTTTAAGGTTCTGATTTTGCTAGCTTAATCAGCTAATTAAGTATTAATCATGACTGATCAATTTCTGTTAAATAATTGGAGAGAGAGAGAGAGATAGAGAAACTAGGTCTTGTCAATGAATAATGTATCTACTATACAGAGAATTTTGTTTTTGTGAATATAACCTATCAGTATAAGCAACTACTTTGTAGAGAAAACAAAATAAATAATTGGATATACATATTGTACCAGAACTAGTCTCAGGACTCTGTGTAGAAGTCTGTTGTGTATTCTCTGGCTCCGAAGAAGTTATAACCTCTGCCTCCCCCTGAGTGTTCTCTTCCACCACTTGACGAGTTTCTGTTTCGATATTTTCTTTTGTGGCGTCCATATTTGTCTCGCCGCTTGTAATTCTCTCTCTTTCACAATCTTCTGTGCGGCACACAAACGTACGATCAAGAGGCACGGTCAGGGGGTTCAAACTCGCCTCTTGTGAGAAGGGGAACGCTGGTTTCAGCGCCGCCTAGACTACCTGCCCGGAAGTAGTGAACTAAAGAACGAGTGGAGGGAGACTGCCGCCATATTTAAACGCGCGTGTCACGTATAGGATATAGGT